TGTGTCTGTGTGTCTGTGTGTCTGTGTGTCTGTGTGTGTGTGTGTGTATGTTTGTGTGTCTGTGTGTCCCTCCAGGGCCCCAACCTGTGCCAACTGCATTTAGGTTGATGCTACAGGACCTCCATCACTTCTGAAAAGGAGGTGAGGATCCTTGGGCAAGGGACATGAAACCACTATCTGTCCGTCAGCTCAGGTTCTGGTGCTACAAGGAACACTGAATCCGGAACCCATCTTGGAGGCTGACAGTGCTGATTTTCCGGCTCTCATGATGCTCCACTGTGGTAGGCTTAAATGTTGCAGTAACTGTGCTCCCTCCCTGTGAAACCTCCTCGGGAGGTTTCAGTTCCACGTCTTATTTGTGTGACACTGACAGTTTCTGAGCTCTCTGGTATTGTGGAGGGGCAGGTGTCTATATGGCCGCTGCCCTATCTAAGAAGCCCCCGCTCCCAGGCAGTGGGGTCCTTCACCATCAGCCACCACACACTTCCACGGCCTGGTCCTGGAGGTAACCTACCTGCCTGGCAGGAGGGAGAGATGCAGGCTAGATTGTGCAAAGTCTCCTCTTGCCCACTCCCATCCTGCTGGGGGATGGTCAGCCTGGATGGAAAGCACACAGGAATCCCTGTGCCCCTTTAAGCACAGTCCTCTGGGGAGGGAAGAAGCTGGGAGCTCCTGCAACCTCCACCCCTGCTCCCAGCAGCAAGGACCTTCAGCTGAGCACTGGACTTCCTTATCTCAAGCTTGGGGTTGTGATTCCTGGGGAGAGGGTTAATGGAGGGAGCACTTGGCATTAACTTTGGGCAGATCAGCCAGCACTGTGTCAGCAAAGGCTGCTGCTGCTCCTTCCTAGGGAGGAGAGGGGCCCTGGTCAACCCTCCCTTCTCCCCAACACACATTGTTGCCTCTCTCAGCAGAATCAGTGACAAGTTTCTACTTCTCGACCTTGCATTTTCCCTGTTCTCAGAAATCACGTTCAGACCTCATTTTGTCCTGAGTCCAAGTCCTTGTCATTTGGCAGGTGTGAGGCAAAGGAGGGTGGTTTCCTGTCAGTGAACTTGGGCACTGAGGGGGGCTACGTGAAACAGACAGGGCTAGTGGGAGTGAAGTATGAAGGTTTATTGCACAGAAATTATTTAAATCCTGTACCCCAAATATTCCGGTGAACAGAAAAGAAAATGTGGATAGGAACACCACCCTCGATACTGAAAGAGTTTAGTTTGCTGAGAGAAAAAGTTTTGAAAGATTTTAGTTCACAGAGAGAAAAAGTTTACCACAGGCCTTGGCCCATTACAAGGAAGCTGCCCCCAACCCCGGGCACATCCTATGGTTTAGACGGGACAATCGCCAAGACAACCCTCTTTGGGTCACACCTGGCTGGCCAACAGACAATCAAGGACTTTCCAGGGTATGTTCTGTGGTTTTTTCCTTTGTAAAAAAGCAGGCCACACCTGGGTGACCACTCTTAACATGAGATCATACTTTGTAATCAATCACTTTGTGCTCCTTGCCTGTATGCTGATCTATGGTTTTTTCCTATATAAGGAGCTTGCACCCCATGCTGGGGTGTGCAGCTTCCCCGATATTGCTGACACCTGAATGCGCATTTGTTCAATAAACCCTCTTGCTTTTGCAGCTCTTGGTCTGCTTTCTGAGTCTTGGGGGCTCCTCGGGATCCTGAGGCCCTTAGGGGTCTGGGGGTCTTTCAATACCATTTGCTGAGAGTATTAGAGTTTGAGCCATGTGGAAGACGCTGTGCTTGGAGAGGAAGGGAAGAAAAAGGTGGGGTATCCTCTTTAACACAACTGAGGTAGAGGGGTGTTGGCAGTGCAGAGACAGGGGTCTGTGCCACATGTGGCCTTCAGGCCACAGAATGTCTACCAAAGAGAAAGAACCCTCTCCTCAGATCCCCTCTGCCAGGCTTAATCCATAAAGCAGTGCACATCCTTGAAGTAGTGGGCATAGTCTGTCAGGGACACCATTGGAGGATTAAGACTACCAATGTGACCCTGCTGTGTGTGAGCCTTCCTTCACTTTCAGACTCAGAAACTGGAAGCAATGAGGGGCACTCGGGACATGAAAGATACAAGCACCTGGGCTGCAGGAGATCTACATTCCAGACTCACCCCCAAGTAAAGCATTCACCCTGATAACTCAAGCAAAACCAGGGCCATCCAGACCAATCCTCAACCCTTCTCCACGGATTCTGGTGAATATCTTGTCTTGTGCTCAGGGTGGCAAACTCTACATGGAGCTCAATGGTATAAGCAGGAAATATAAATGCAAACAGGAGGCTCTAGGCAGCAACGCTCTTCTGACCCTCACATTCTCCTCCTTCTCGGGCTTCTAACGGCCCCACCTGATAGATTTACAACATCCAGTTACCCATAGATAGTTCCAGGGTGTGGATGGAGACAAAGTCTATTGAATAGGAGAGAAAGGCCCCTGAATGATATGGTTTGCGAGACAAGGGGAGCATGCCCAGTCACTAGAAGCACATTCCTGTGCAATTCCTGAACGTGCATGCGAACTGCTTCCACCCACAAAATGTCCAAGGTGAGGGCATCCGATTAGCTGATTCATCATTAGCCTCCATTTTGGCATGAAGGGACAGAGAGGGAATATCAGCTTGCTCCTAGCTTTCATGGGAGACTTAGGCTATTTGTATCCTCTATAATAAATAGACTTGTACTAGCTGTTTTGTCAACTTGATACAAGGTAGAGATAGCCAACTGAAGGGAGAGAGCCTGAAACAAGTAACTTCCTAGTAAGACTGGGCCATAGGCAAGCCTGTAGAGCATTTCCAAATCACTGATTGATGTAGGTGTGCCCAGCACATTGGAGGTGGTGCCAAACCTGGCCTGCTGGTTATGAATTCCATAAGAAAGCAGGCTTACAAGCCATTAGGAGCAAGCCAGTAAGCAGCACCCCTCCATGGCCTCTGTGTCAGCTCCTGCCTTCAGGTTCCCATCCAATTTGAGTTCCTGCCTTGGTTTCCCTCATGGACTGTGATTCAGGATATGTAAGCCAAATCAATCCTTCCTCCCCAAGTTGTTTTTGGTCATAGTGTTTCATCACATCAATAGAAATCCTAGTAAAGACAAAAATGAGTGAAGATTATAAATTGTAAGCCTAAACATATTCTGGGGAAATTGAAGCTGACAGCCACATTAACTTTTAACAACAGCTTCTGCCTTACAGCAGACAGCCTAGCAGTTACTGTGTAGGGAGTAAACTTTTAACAACTGTCTCCTGCCTTATAGGCAGGCAGCTACAATGTCCAAAGATTAACCTCTAAATTGCTTCCTGCCTGCCAAGCAGTTACAGTGGACAAAGGTTAGCTTCTAACAGTTGCTTCTGTGTGACTCTGTGTTACAGTCCCGTAACTTTTAACTTTCCTCCTATGTGGCCCCCTGCCTTGCATTCTTTCAGGGACATAAAAAGCAACTATGTCAAGATAGCCACCACAAATATCTTAAGTTAGCACCCTGTAATCAAAAGTTGTAAATCTTAAAATGCAATGTGACCTTAAGATTGTAAATGCTCTTTGACACACACCTGGTGCTTGATTTTTACTATAAGAAGAGGCTCAAAACCTGCCTCATTACCACAGTCTCAGAAGCCCAAACTCTGACCTGTGTGGCTCCAGCGAGCTGGAAGTTTTTTGTGCCCTGCTGTGATTGGAATAAAGTTTACTTCTGGTTCCTAGACTTCGGTGTTCTGCTTCCCATTATATGTGTGCCCTTGGGACCCAGCCATTGATACTGGAATTGAGGAACATGGTAAGTCCAGTGGATTCCTTGCCTGTGGGCCCACTCTTGCTCTTCTGTGGCATGAAGTGAGGTTGTTGATCAGAAGCAATGCTGTGTGGAGTGCCGTGACTTACAGATGAGACATTCTGTAAGTCCATGGATGGAAGTTTGGGAAGAATCATTACATGCAGAAAATGAAAATCCATAACAAAATAAGTGCCTATTCCAGTAAGGACAAAGCATTGTCCTTTCTGTGAAGGAAGTGGCCCAGTGCAGTCAACCTGTTAGGTTAGTGACTGGCCATTCTGGAGAATGGTGCCATATCTGGGGCTCAGTGTTAGCCTCTGCTATTGACATAGCACTTAGCAGCAGCTGTAGCCAGGTCAGCTCCAGCAAGTGGAAGTCCCATCTCTGCCACCATGGCCAAACTGAAAACAATCACAATGTACCTCCAGGGGTGAGGGCTAGTTCAGTCACAGTGTTGCCTTGCAAACACAAGGGCCTGAGTTCTATTCCCAAAGGTCAGGTGGAA